AACTCAGACATGATCTAGAAATGTATAAATATGTAGATGTATATCTTTTATATATATATATATATATTTATATATATGTATATTATCATGTACACGTGACGCGCGAAAACCCACGCTCACATACACATAAAAAATTAAAAATCGGATGAATGAAAATATTATTATCAATGGTGGTGGTTTTCTCGCGACTACGACCGCCAACAACGGAGCGGGGAGACGACTTGTGACTACGTGATAGCATTACCCCGCCCTCCTTCGCGTCTAACGTCCAGCGGCGGCGTCCTTGCGGGTTGAGGTCCCTGGAGAGGCGCCCTGCTCCCTGTGGCTCGTGCTGGGGGGTGCTGCTGCTGCCGCTGCTGCTGCTGAAGCTGCTGCTGCTGCTGCTGCTGGGGAAGGGGAGCTCTCTCTCGCTCTCTCTTTCGCTCGCTCTCTCGTTCGCTCGCGCTCTTTCTCTCTCGTTCTCTCTTTCTCTGCCTCTCTTCTGTCTCTGCTTCTAAGGAAACGAGCAAACAAACAAGACGGGAAATGAGAAGACTTGCAACGACTCGCATGCACGACCACACCGAGAGTCACTTCGTGTGTCGACCTGAGTGCGACCTCCTCGGGTGTGAATCCTGTCTGAGGAGGAATCGCACTTGAGCAATCGCACCGCTCGCACTCGCAGGCACGCGCTCGCTCGCTCGCACGCACGCACACGGCACTCCTTGCAAAAAGGGGGTGAGATAACCACAAAAATTTGTATCGTTTTTTGATGATGCTATATACCTAGCGCCCCGCGGGAGATGCTGCGGGCTCTCTCCTGCCGGAGTCAGCAGGCGTCGCCGTCAGCAGGAGGGGGTGGAGGGGGAGCAGGGACAGGGGGATGCCGGGACGAAGGAGGATGCTGGGAGGAGGACTCGGCTAAGGAGGAGGGAAGGAGACGCAGAGGTCCGAGTCGGGGGCGGACTCGGCCCCCTCTCGCAAAGCGCTGCTCCTCGGGACCCCAACCTCGCCCTCGGAGCCGAAAGCGGTCGCCGACGCGTTTGTTTTTATCTTCTAGAATTTTCATTTAAACTACCGTACACCCAGCTCCTCGTTTCTGTTTTTTTTATTTGAATCGGCGATTATTTGATTATAGTACCTGCATTGCGATACATGCAGTGTGTGTGAGGAAAATAAATTATAATAAATAGGCAGTTTAAACCTATTAGTTATAGAATACTGAGTTGAATACGAACATATCTACTTCTACGTTTCGCCTCGAGGAGGTGGAGTAATCAAGAAATATCTACCTTTGTAAACCTATGATTGTAAAGAGAAGTTTTAAACTACATATTGCGCAGAAGTTTCAGTACACTATTCCAGTCTATATATTTTGCTTGGATGCGCTTTTGGGGGGTACTGTCTTTTATTGGTATTTTCTCGTTCATAATTTAATTCGCTAGAAAATGGGAAACAAAATATGATATGATATGACATTCATTGTTTCCAAGTCTGTGTAATAAGGACTTAAGTTATCGGTTCACAATATCCATATTATTTTTTTTTCTCCTATGATATTATTTTTTACACTTTCTACAATACATAGTATTGATTAAATGAATAAAAAATGACTCCGTGATGATGCTTAATTAATATTACATTACACATAATCAATTCAAAAACGGATGTGAGCCACTCAATAACCATCAAAGTTCGTGATCAAGAAAATTATACTATAAAACGGTTATTTACATCGACAAAGAATGTAAATGTACACTCTGCATGTGGAAAAACAGAAAGTGTCTTTTTTCCCTTAAAGTGTTGCGTCCGGGAGGGCTGGGCGCGTGACCCCCTGGCTGCCTAAGGGGTCAAGGGTCAGGGGGTCCGGGGAAGGGTGTTCGTTGGTGACTTGTTTCGAGAGCGGACGAGGGTCGCCTTTCGTGCCTCTGCTCCTGCTGCTGCTGCTTCCTTCCGGAGTCCAACGGAGTCACGCTCCCTTCGGCCCGGGCAAGGATAGATTATTGCATGAGACTCCTTTCTTCGAGACTTCATTAACAGCTTAAGAGAAAAAAAAGGAAGATGCGCTAAAAATGTTTGAGTAAAGACGTATTTGTATTGAATTATTTGATGCTTACAGTAACCTCAGAATCACATAATACTGACGCATGAGCAAGGGGACAAACGTGTCTGCGCTTGGCGTACAGCTGGCGCATATATGCTTTTTCTATCTTCTTCGTAGGGCGTATAACTCATGTGGCTAAAATAGTACACTGGAAAACCCAGAACTGAGAAGCGCCATTCCGAGAGGAGGCGCCGGCGGCCTCGGGGCACCACTGCGCGGCGACCCACACGCGCCTCGCTGCTGCTGCTACAGCTGTGGCCCGCCACACTGCAGCACAACGGCCCGCCGTGCTGCTGCTGCTGCTGCTGTCGCTGCGGCCCGTCATGCAGCCAAGGCCAGACAGCGCATCAGAGCAGCAGTCCGACGTCGCTGCGGCAAGTCCATGTTGCGAGCTGCGAGCCTCGGCCTCTCGCCCTT